ATCGTTGATAGCCCTTGTACACTAACTTGTGTTAGGATAGTAGCCCACTTTATTTTTGACATCCTGATATAAACTGTGACGTCACTGAACTTTAGTCGTTTGCAGAGGTCGTAAATTCGAATTTCTACTCTTATTTTTACGATAGCAGGTTTAAGAACACTTTTAGACTTTTGTTTGCATCCATCCACAAAAGTCTTCCAACTTTTTACTTGTGGCTTCGGCTGCTGTTTGGGATTTTCCTTTCTTCGTGAATGTCTTTGGATGATGACAGAGTCGCTTCTTCCTGGAGGGCTGGGATATCCGTGCTAGAGCTTTCACACTTAGATTTTTCTTTTAGGCAGAGAGTGAACTTTTCCCAGGCACATCTGGTACCGATTTCCTGATTCCAGAGGGATGGGAGGTTCGGTAGGTTAGGAGGAGGATCAAACCAACGCTATGCTCGTGATGATCGCCATCACTACCACTGCGCTTCCCGCCCCTCTTTTTTCACTTTTCCTTCTTAGAATTCAGATTTAGAATGTGTTCGGAGAAGATTCAAGAATAATGTAATTCAAAAGGATGGCATAGTACTGCGTGTCTTTTGTCTTGTTCACTGCGTGCTCAATGCTCTGAACGTGATTGTTCTCTGAAGCATTCGTCTCATTCTACTCAGATATGGAGGCAAGTCACTCGTCATGGTGATGTCCTGACACAGATACACGTAGTCAGACCTTTTAGACATGTTGATTTCACTGAGTTCGGATAAGATTTCAGAAAACAAATGAGCCGATATTATTTCTCTCTTACTAATATTTTACATTATGAATACAATGAAGTAGAAACGAAGATAGTGTAGCTACTGGGTCACTCACTCTCACTTGTATAACATCTCGCGCAGTTTCTCTTCACCATTTTATATACTGTCTCTAAATAATTTTCGAGGTTTTGTGCCTTTCTGCCGAACATCTGTTCATTCGTTTGCAGTCGTGCTTTAATGACAGCTTTTGTCTATATCTGGGTGCGTGTGGCGCAGTTGGAGGCGTCACTGCGATACATACGTGGAATCGATCTCCGCGCTCATGGCCCACCAAGCCTTCCATCCCTCTGGGGTCTGCAGATTGGTACCAGACTTGTCCGGGAGAGTAGTAACAGTGGCTCGATACAACGGTAGACTACCGCGAGGCATTATAAGGGGCATGGCGCATCACTCAAGGCTCGATCAACGCCTAGAGCTTTATCCTTTATCCTTTATCCTTTTGTCTATATCTGCTCCTAAAGTGGGCCAGTTTATTGGAGTCCTTCATTGCTCTTTAACCACTCTCTCTCAACTCGCTCATCCACTACCTGAAGGCATTCTAGATGGCCTTCCAACTGTCCGGATCGTGTGATTCATGGAATTACTGCTCATGTAATTATTGTGTTTTTAGAAGGTCGCAGAACTCCAGAAAAAAGGCCATATCAGTTCAAGGAGAAATTCGAAGAAATAAGTGTTCGAGAACGCCGTGGATCCCAGGACGATTATCGCGATAGGGTATATTCAAAGTTTTTTTTTGAACCCTTTGCTTCTTGAAGAGTGTTCAGTGTTTATGGCTAGTCTAGGTTTTTTGAAATAATTTCATCTTAAAACTACGGGGTTTTGAAATGATGGAATTTTGAAAACTGGTGGAACATATTAATTCATGCTCTTAGGTTTTAGAAGTGGGTAGTTGTGTACAAACTTTTGCTATTAAGTATCTCATAATTTTCTTCTTTTTAAGGAAGTATATATTCCGAGAAGTGATCTACGACCTTCAAGAAAAACGTACACAGAGTCCGTCACAACTTCTCGCATAACTGTAGGACCAGAAGGCGAACAACCATTCCGCGGAAGAAGAGAAATAACAAGAGAAGAAGTCGAGAGACTTCCTTCCTACACCGGAACTAAAACAGACGATGTCCCATCATACAGAAAGATGAAGGAGATTAGGCGAGAGGAAGTAGACAGAGCTCAATCAAGCATGGATCATCAGACGATCTTTCCTCCGTTAACTAAATCAAAAGAGGGAAAAAAAGATGCAGTGAAAGAAACGGTAGCCACGGAAGCTGTGCGGAAGATCCCACGCGTTGCAATTCCTAAACCTCGCTCACCGTCTCCTCCTAGAGTAGTGAAGAGCACGGCAGAAATTACCAAGGAAGAACTGGAAGAAGAAAAATGGAAACAGGCTGATGAACGATCTAGAGATATTCACGCTACGAGCACTGAAAGTTGTGACTATGGAGAAACAGAAAAGATGGCCGAAACCAAAATAAGAACTATCAAACGTGTTGAGGAAGCGGTTTGTTTTTGTTGGGCTTAGTATTAGACACAATATTGTTTCATTTGATTAATCTGAAAGCAAACATCAGGAGCCCTTCGGCTGTTTCTTTAGAGAGTTTAAATTAGCTGAGGAAATGTCTGTTGTTACGAGAAAGCCGTACATACTATTTGATCCATATTTGCTCTACATGTGTCCGAAAATAACAGTTTTACCGCCGAGGCGGTAAATAAAAGCCAAACTGTGATTTCGACTACATGCTCATCTTAACTGGATTCAATGCCGATTTGTGCTCCTCAGTTCATTCCCTTTGATTAGTAATTGCTGGTAGCACCGTTAGGGTAAAACAGGCTGGAAGAAAAGCAAAGAAAGGACTTCAGCGGTGCAGTGGATAACATGTGAACTCCTGGAAAAGGTAATCGCAGGTTTCAGTATAGCCTTGGGTCAAGGTTTTGCAAGTATACCAGCGTCATTGTGTTTTTTTCAACTTTAAACATTTATCTTGGTTTGTATTGAACTTCATCATCAAAAATTTAAAGCACTAAAATGTTTGCATCGCTGCCACCAACAGTTAGGTTTTTCTTCGTATTTTTGTTGAGGAAACGCGAGGTGTTATTATTCTTTATTCACGAATAAGCTGACGTTCCGGCGGATTTCGCCTTCCTCATAGCCGCTTTCTATGAGGTTTCCACTAAGTACGTCGCGTGAAGACCAACCGCACAGAAATCACATGGAAGCATAAAGCATTATCTTGCTCTTTATCTTCAAGGCTCATGAACCGAACAGCAAAGTGGATTTTGTCCATCATAGCGTGATGTATTGCGAAAAACAGCACTGATGCTTGACACTACTGAACTTTCCATTACAGGCGTTTCTCCTTACAGATTCTTGAACGTTTTTTTTCCTGTTTCAAATTTTCTTTTGCTTCTTGCATCACCCGTATTCATATCTACTGTACGGCTTCCACCACTTTTCGCATTTGATTCGTCCACTTGGATCCATCATCCATCGTCTTCAAACTTTTCGCGTATGGGTTCGGTGGCTAACTGAGGATTGTCATCATTTTTATGAATGTCGTAAAATACCGATCGTGCCAACTCTCCCTGGAGTTCTGGAGTAGACTGGCTGTGGTGTTTCTAGGTAGATTTGAGGGAGTGACTTGGGGCTAGACGAGTGTGGTAAGCGACCCTGAAGTGTTGAGAGATTTGATGTACTCAGTGGGGGGCGGACCAGCGCCATGCTCGTAATGAACGGCACCCTACCACGGCGCTGCCAGCCCGAGTTTAAATTTAAAAATCTTTAAAAGTATAACGTCTAGGACAGTAATGCATACCTGTAAAGCGATAGGATCGATTCCCTTGAGTTTCTCAAGCCTTCATGTGGCTCTGTGTTAACTAGATACCATCAGTAGATGTCGAGAACGTTAGCTATGTTTGTGAATAAGTCAACCAAAAACGACTACATTGTCCAATGATGTTTTTAGTTTATTTTTTAAATGACACCGATCTCAATCTTCCCTTGAAACCTTTCATTTATTCCAGAGCTATAGAAATTAGTTGGAAACTCTCTAAGATAAAATAAACAATTGTTTCTTAACGATATTCGTTAAAGAATGGATATAAATTATACTGGTCATTCCGTTAATTTAGTTTCATTTGTGAGCTGCTGTTTAGAAATTGTAGCATAATATTTATTATGTGAAACTCTTGATTCCTAAGAAACTAATGAACTCTACTACTGATCTAAATTGATAAACATTAGGTAGTTTCAAGGAAGTGTTAATGTTAAGGAAGACTGTTGTCAAAAATTCTGAACTAAATCTTTAGAGCAATGCAGTTGAGTTTTATTATTTACTATGATTTTCCTCTACTTACATTCGCTCTTACTTCTTTCTTCTTTCGTGGCATTTTGACAGCTTTATCAGAGTTTTTGCGAGCACAGCCAGCCCAGATAACATTTTGTTGGCATTTGCTCGACATAGGATGTAATTCTTATGAAACACTTATTCTGTAATAGTCTACCATTCTGTTCTGTTCTTCCCATAGAGTGACTTATACAGTACCACCGGATTTTTCTATGTCAAGTCAAGATATTGATTACTTATTTAGGATATGCCATCTTTGTATCAGGAAGAGCACCAACACTATACAAGGTAGAGCTTATGAGATAATTCACTCAATATTCTCTTTTTTTAAATTTTAGTCACTACCGTATGAGTTCATTACCAGCACTATACATATATTTAATTTCAGAAGATCGGGTGGATTAATACCACGTACGCAACCTGCAAGCGGGTAGGTTTTGTTGCCTCAAAATCTGGCATTTTCTTGAATACTTTAAGTATGGACACTGGAAGCATTTCTTCACTATCATAGGCGTGGTTTAAAAGTTATTTGAGGATGTAGAATTCTGCAAAACATATTACTTCATTTGCTTTGATGTTTAGATTACGCGGTGTTGTGTTTCCTAGCACAACATCGATTTCTTTTGTTCTGTCTGATCCATAGAGTTAATCCATTTTCTAAAATTCGAATCTGTTCATATCATGCCGTAATCTAAAGGTTCCATACAAACTCTAACATTGCTGATTGGTCGACCAACGCTTCTGTTCATTTTAGAGGGTGGACGTTCTATAAAGACAAGTGTACAGAACTGAACCTACGGATTTTCTTTAATGCTTTATAGTCGGTCGACTGAAAAGACGAAAATTTGTCAAAGACTTGCAATATGTTGCCTATTTGGACGGGCTTTGATCCGCTTGGTTCTATATTAGCGTGCTTCAGAGGTGAGTAGTAAAGCGTCAGCAATATTGTGCAGTCGAACGAAGCTTGAAGGTTTGCCGCACCGTGGGATCTTGAAGAGACATAGTCACCAGCAATTTTCGTTATATTCATAGTATTTTCCATTAGGTTGTTTTCTCATTTCTATTTGAAACGTCGTATGTGTCCGTTTGTTAATATAAAGATGTTACGGGTGATTTAAGGAACCGTGGAGAAGAACCAAGTTTCGAATCGTTCCTTCAACGTTAAGGATTTTATATTTTGAGTTTGACCTATAGCTTTACAACGAAGCGAAAGTTGCATGGGACGCTGTCTTGTATTTTTCGCCCCGTCTCACTAATTCCTGGTGATCTTTCAGTGCTAGTTCATACCAGTTCATAACGGCGATTTGCATACAAAAGGTATTTGCGTCGATAGTATGTGATTTTCTGCCGTTTTCGTCCATTCACACCGTACAACAGTTCCTATCACAACCATTCTATGTATTTGATTAATCAATTGAAGTCCGCATATACGTGGATTCTGTATCGACCGACATCCATTCACAGGGTAGCCAATTCGCATCAACACCATAATCATCTGGTACAGTTCTACACTGGTCTCAGCATTTTCTCTAATAGGAAAATTATACGGGAAGAAGGTCGCTAGTGCTGTTATCTCTTCCCAGATTGTTGACTGAATGTAGAATGGCTTTCATAGGTGCATGCTATCAATATTACAATAGTCTGTGGTGACACAGGATTCACGTTGGCTTTCGTTCCGATCGCTTTTCTTCTTGCGTGGACCGAACGCATATGAAGTTATCAATGTCGCTTAAAGTACACGTTGCTAGCTGTTGTTGCCAATAGTTGTAAACTTTATCGTGACTGGATATTTCTACACCGTTATCATGTATGTTTACTCTCTGATAACACTTCTACACTTCTGTTTCATTTCTACACCACTGCATGTTTTTATGAGCGATCTCTACAGTACGATACAATCGTTAAATGGTTTTTCTTTAACCTCAAATGTTAATTCATTCAGTTTTATGCCTTTTATGTTTTCCATCTTGTTGCTCTAACTTATTACCAACACATAGAGCTTCCATAATACACAAATTTTCGATAGGGGTTTTTTCTATACAGGGTACTTGCCGAAAGAAGATTTTTGTAAATCGATCAATTGATTTTAACAGAAACAAGGGAATGAAAGTTGTTTGGTTGCTTGATTTCCTACTTTTACTTTCCTCTTTTTCCCTTATTGTACTTTCTTCTTTACGGTTGTGTTTGGTGTGAAATTATGAGTATTACTGTTACTATTACGATTACTATTACTGCGAAATTTTTCAAAACTGGCCATCATTTAACCTCAGCATGAATAGTGAATGTCTTTTAAATTTTTCGCCTTACACGAGGTGGTCACAAAATTTTCACTCAGTTAATGTTCATAATCTTTCCTGTTCTTCAGAACCCCGATGACCTCAGTCGATTTACTACAGCCGTTCATCCACATGATGTGGGTCTTCGTAATCCCATCGAGTCGAATTTGCTGGAGTGGAGTGACCTTACTCAGAGGATACGAAAAGGCCGTCGTTGGTTATCTACTGAAAATAATTTGCTTTTATGAAGAGAATTCGTTCAGCAGTAATCGGTGTAATATCATCTAACAAATAGCGGATCAATATTTTTCAAGATCAACCATAATTTAAATCTCAGCTTGAGTGGCTAGAATCTCCTTATATTTTTCAGCTTATTGACTAGTGTTGATTCGCTATATGCTAGCAATTATTGCACCGATTACTGCGAGATGCAGGATCTTCATAAAAGCAAATCACTGCCAAGGCACAATTAAAATGAACCGTCATGTGTAGAAGTACTCTGTCTAGTGAGGTTCTTCATTCGATCAGTGTTCCGCTCTAGAAAATCGGACTCGGTGCAACTACAAAGACCCACATCATGAGGACAGACTGCTGTTGAAAGTCGACTCGGATCATCGCGGTACTGAAAGTGAAGAAAGGGTCGGAACGTTAGCCGAATAGAAGCTTTATAACCAGTTCGTGTAGACTGAAAAATCTAAAAACATATGATTGAAATTCTACTAAATATTAATTTGATAAATTTTCAGAATGGCTTTCACCGGAGGGAACGAGTTTGTGTGTAAGTCTACTCTCTCATTTAATCGCGAATATGTTTTTATCAGTTCACTTTCGAAGTTTTAAAATGGATGAACAAATCAGTGTAAGCTAGACGAAGCAAAATTTTTGGAAAAACTGGAAACTGAAGATAGCTGACGGAGTGCTCAAATTTTAAAATCAATTTTCAGCCGGAAGTAGTGTGAGTGCCAGTGAAATACGTGAAATACGTGAAAGAGAGAAAAGAGAGATGCGTGGTCTCAACGACCGATTAGCTGCATACATTGAACAAGTAAGTGATTTCAAAATTGCTTTGCAATATCTCCGTGAGTCTTGCCAAAGTAGGCTCTCGAACAAGTAATGACTATTTGTTAATCGTTTCAGGTTCGATTCCTAGAAGCGCAAAACCGTAAGCTTAACCATGATCTGGAAAGACTAACGAAAGGCAAGCACGCGCCTGGAATTCGTTCTATGTACGAAACCGAGATTAAGGTACCATCAACAGGAACCTCTCACAGTGTAGTATGGTGACAGTTGATTAGCGCTGTACATGAACATATAGCGCTGTACATGAACAACATTTAAGATGTTGATGACAATGTGAGCCACATACGGTTCTTACCCATTACAATATTTTGCTCATACGGATGTATTTTCAAGAGTTGGAGCGTGACTATTTCGAATTATTCGCTCTACTATAATGCTATTAGTTCGACAGAATTGCTCTTTTTAAAGTCGATGAAAGCTGTGCTGCAAAGTTCTCAGATCGTCACCACAGGCCGTTCCTATGTACTTTATGTATCGAAGAGCTTTCGGACAAGTGTTCTTTTCTTAGGACAGGGTGACCATACTGGGAAGTAGATGGAGAGTTTGATCCTTATAATAGTCAACGTATGAAGAAAAATATCGCTATCGTTTGAAAAATATTGTGAGTATAAAATACTTGGCATCAACAGTTTTTATCCATCAGTCTCTGAAACTACCACAGTTAAGGTCACTAATCAATAAAAAGAATCAGATATTGAAGGAATCCAGAGTTTTCCTACCTGTCATAATGACCAAAACCAAGAATGCAAAACCTTGGAAGAAAGCTCCACGAAGAAAAAACTTTTTTTTAGCAATCGCAAGCGATAATAGCGGATGCGAAGAAGGATTATGGCAATTTAGAGAAAGAAGTTCGTGGACTTAGTGCAGATCTCACCGATATTCGTTCTAGGTAAAGTTTTGTTTTTGCTTATTTTCTAAAGGCTTTCATATCTATCCTAGTATAGAATGGCTGTTGTTGGTGTATGATAAATTAAAGCTACGGTCATTTCACTTTATTCCTTTCTGTCCTAATTTTTTAAAAACTGTTATAACGGTAAGGGTGCGTGTGGCTCAGTGTCGGAGGCGCCCTGCAACACACACATGGAATCGATCTCCGCGCCTTTGGTCCACCGAGCCTTTCATCTCTCCGGGGTCGGCAATTTGGTACCGGACTTATCTAGGAGGATAGCAGCACTGGATCGATACATTGATAGGCCATCGTGAGTCATTGTAAAGGCCAGATACGCATTCAATGACCTACAACGATACTTAATGAAATCGAATGCATGGCGCATCCCTCAAGGATTGATCAACACCAAGAGCTTTATCTTTACTTAGCTTTACGATAACGATGCGTTCTAGATATGACGCTGCGGTGAAAGCTCGAAATCTTGGAGATGAAGATGACCTCATTGTGAAGCTCTGTGATCTTCAGGCTCAGGTTAGTGTGTTCCGAATTCACTCTTCTATACGTAATGTAATTTCATTGGGTTTTCTTGCTAAGTGTTCATTATTTCGCGTGTAGAGACGCGTATCGAGTGCACTGGTTAGAGACGCTGAATGCACTTAGGATCACAATGTATAACTTTTACTATATAATGCATGCGTAGGGGCGTGTGTGGTGCAGTGGTCGGAGGCGCCCTGCAGTACACATGGAATCGATTCCAGCGTCCCTGGCTCACCAAGCCCTCCATCTCTACGGGGTCGGCGAACTGGTACCAGACTTGTCTGGGAGGATAGCAACACTGGCTCGATACAGCGGTAGGTTAAAATGAGTCATTGTAAAGGCCAGATATGCATTCATTCACCTCCAGACGATGTTTAATGAAGTCGAATGCATGGCGCATACCTAAGTGATTGAACAGCGCTGAGAGCTTCATCCTTTTATCCTTTTTTACTGCATATCCTGCTATGAAAAAATATTAGGTACTAAATGGAAAGTAATACATTGTGATTTCGACTGCAGTCTCAGCTTAACTCTGTTCAATGTCGATTTGTGCTACCCAGATCATTCCCGTCGACGGGTGGTACAAAAACTGACTGAGAGAAAGGCAAAACAAGGCAGTCAGTTTTGCATTTGGTAACACGTGAGCTCCTAGAATCGGTAGACACGGGTTCGAATCTGGCCTGGCGTCTAAAGTTTGCAAATATCTCAGCGTCATTGTGGTTGTATTTCGCACTCAGAATCGTCAGTTCGATCCTTTGCCCAGGCAAACTAAGCCCTCATGGAGTCGTAAAACCAGCACCAGATTTGTCTATTAGGATAAACCACTGACATTGATCAATGCCGAAAGCTTTATCCTTTCATCGGTTGCTTTTTGTTCCAGAACAATTTCAGATCTGTATGACAAAACGACGTAATGCGGTGATTGACGAAGAGTGTAAGCGTATTCGTGAGGAAAATCACAAACTGAGTTCGGACCTTGCAGCTCAACGTCAGGTCTACACTGTTATGTCATTGTTACATTGGCAAAAGTCCTTGTATTTTTTCTTCTTTTTATGTTTATCGAGTTGTTTACAGCTACTTGAAAGGGAGACGCTTCAACGTATGAACTATGAGCATCAAGCACAAGCTCTCATTGAAGAGTGCAAGATCATCGCCAGTAGCAACAGTGTTGTAAGTATATGAACTGTTTCGTCGTTTATTTTCGATGTAATTCCTACACATGTTAAATATCTTATATACTTATAGAAGCTGGACAAGTACAAATATCAAGACACAACCGAAGAAAATCGCGCCATATTCAGACAAGGTTTATCGGAAGCCATTGCAGAAATTCGTAAACTCTACGATGAGGTGGAGAGAGTTGTGTTTTTTTGTTCTTCGTATCGTCTTCCTCATTTATAATTAATGAGTTTTCCAGGATACCTCAAAATTCCGAAGTGAAATGGAATCCTGGTACAGTAAGCAAGTGATTGAAATTCGTACAAGTGCTCGTCATGCAGCTGACGCTAGTATTACTAAGGTTTTTTAATCCTTTTCATGACCTCTACATGGTATAACTCTTTATTTGATTCTGATTACAGTATTAAATGTTTCTGAAGTACAGAATTATCTTTTTTTTAGGAGAAGGTTAAGGCACTTCGAGCTCAACTAACCGAGATGCGAACCAATTTGGCAAATCTGGAAGGACGCGTAAGTTGATTACCTCATTCATTAATGATATCATTAGTCTATTTCGGTTAAAACAGAGCTTTTATGGTACACATTTTTGCATTGAAAATAATAAATTCCACTACTTTCTTCAATCGTGGTGGAATTTTCGAGTATGAAAATATGGAGAAGAAAGAAGCGTACGCTCATTGCACTTAATCAAAAGTTTTCGCCTATTTACCCTTGGCTTTATGTTACAGCAGATGAGAGCTATAGTCCGCATGAAAAAAATCATTTAACGACCTGGTAAACGTCCTATTTGACCTATGAAAACATCCCTATAGCAGACAGCACAAACTCACTCTGGTTTTGGTCAAATATGTTAACTAAGAACTGCTAAGAACTACTCGCCTTGTAATTTGTTGGATTGGAGTTAGTAAAATAAATTGCATCCAATTTCCAACAAAGTGGGAAACATATTTTTGCAGAATCATATCCTCGAAAAGCTGATTCAAGACCTTAACTTCCAAATCGAAGATGAAAGTCGTGTGACGATGGCACATCTGAGTGAGAAAGACGATGAAATTCGAGCCGTACGCTCTCAGTGTCAAGCTATAACCCTGGAACTCGAAAAACTTATTGTTGAGAAAGTTGTAAGTTTTAATTTGGGAAACGAAATTGTTATTGTTTACTGCGGTCAATCATCAGTACGTTTGTAGGTGATCATTGGTTCTGATTAGTTTGTTTTTTGTTCCGAGCTTGTTCTCTTCGTTAGTTCGGCCGTTTAAGACATTTTTATGAACGATTTAAGAGTAAAAAATGTTATAATGAATTTTTTTTAGAAACTAGATGCTGAGATCAGTAAATATCGTCAACTTCTGGAAGGAGAAGAGAATAGAACACATGGTCGAATTATCTCCACCGCTAGCCACTCATTCGACACATCACCGTTGTCTAGTAACTGCATCATTTATCTATAGATTATCAACATCCCATTAAAATTTTAATCCCACGACTTGACTTTTTTGTCTATAAATGGTAACAAAGAATGGTCGGAGCAAAACAATGACTGTAGGTTTACAAGTACGTTCCACTTCCACTGCCATACGTCGTGTAACGGGGGCAAATCGGTTTGAAGCACAAAGAACGGCACAAGGCAACATCTCCATAGCAGTAAGTATATTTGGATCGCATACTTTGAAATTGTTTAGAAAAGGTGCAATTTTAAAAGACACTAATATGAATGAGGGACGCGGAAATTGCAGTAGCTAGACATGCCGCGCAAGACACGTGTGGCTAGTGATTCGAGGTCGAGCTTAGACGAGCCTCCTACTCTTTTTAGGTGAAACAATTGGTGACGTGTTTATCTGAGAAAGCTCATTGCAATAGGAGAATTTGGTGATTGGTTGCGGTGGTGACTTGGGAATGATTTAGTGGGGCTATAGCAAGATTGAGGAGAGATTCAGTTTAACGAGATTTAGAAAAAGACAGAATACCCAGCTGCCAGCAGAACCCCCTTTCCAATGTGAGGGTGTTCGTTGATGGCGGGATTAATGCAGCCAACCTAGCGAAAGTGTTGAGATCTGCACAATATGTGAAGATCGGTCACCTAAGAGAATAAGTGTATGGTATAGATGAACATGTAGACCGTTGTTTACTGAAACTGTCGGATCTTATATCATGCTTCAGGATGTCGCTTCTGATGGTTCATTCATTGCCGTTGAGAACACATCAATATCTCATGATGAGAAAATCGGGGAATGGAAACTACGCAGTACGAGCGCTGGTCGTGACATCTCATTCATATTCCCTAGAGATTTCGTACTCACGCCGAAATCAAAAGTGACGGTACGTGGTAACCTTTGTTACTGTTTCTCAGTACCTCTACATTACGATAAAGGTGTACGCTCGCGCAAAAGGTTTGCATGCACCACCACACTCACTGGTCTTTGAAGCCGAAGAATCGTTTGCTACCGGTGGTGACGTTCACGTTTACCTCTATAACGAAGAAAATCAGGTTAGAATGTACCCAGTGAAGTGGGATATTTGGAAAGTGTTTGTCAACATTATCTATTCTTTTCAGGAACGTGCGTCCTTTATTCAACGCTGAGCCGGTGTTTAACCTACGCCTGTCCCTGTCCTTCAATATGCCCCTCTGCCATAAATGCTCTTGCACTGTGCTCAAATTCTAACGCTTCTTAGCAGTTCTTAGTTAACATATTTTATGTACCGCGAAATTTCATCCTAAGTCTACCCAGTCACTTCAATATTTAGTGGTTGTTAGTTGATTTTGTATAAATCATTGACGCACATTCACCTTTTTGTGACTGCCTACCAGCAACTACCGTATTGATGTACCATATCACAATCGTCGTTACTTCTACTCTGCCATGTTTGCCACACGACCTCGACTTGAGGAGATTTTTGATGGTGATCCTCTTACATCTGAGGAGACAAGTTATCTCTGATGACTGGTAATGTGCAATTACCTCAGAGCTCATTGTTCTACATTCAATTTACCAACGTTCTTCACTAGTCTAACTGCCCTCATTAACGTCCAGTCATAAGATCATCGTTTAAATATTATCTAATAAAGCTCTAATTTAAGTGTCGATAAACACCAAAATGTCATATTTTAGTCTAATACCGTATTTTAAAGCATTTTTGTTGTTTCGATTTTGTACGACAACAAATCTACTGGAAACCGCGTAACCACATGAGAAAGAAATGTGAGATATTAACATGGTTTCTTCCTACTATTGCAAAAGACGCCGTTGTGAGCAAATATTGAACGGCAGCTAGATGATAATTTTCGTTCAAGGATTTTGCAGTGAATCACAGAAAAGTGGTTAAAGAAGAGCTAAAGTAGAGGAGGTATAAGTTCAAACTGATGCTATCGAAGTTTGAAAGAACATCCGTATGGTCCAGCGGAACTTCGAAGTATCAAGAGCAAAATAACCACTTTCCGTCTTGTAGATGGAAATGTAACTACTATACATCTAGAGGGGTGATGGAATATATCACCACGAATTTTTTTACAATCTCTTTGACAGCAGTGTTCCTCCAAAACATATCCAGGAGTACTAGCATACTGTCTCAGTAGCTAATTGAAGTTTTACAAGTCGCAGAGCATTTGATTCCCGTTGTTTGAAGGATATAACCCCCTTAGCTCCCGATTTGAAACAACAAAGAACAATACATATTTTTTCTTTGCTTTAAATTGTGGATAACAGAGTAAAACAGTGGTATAGAAGAAGAGCTTCACTGATGGAATAAAAGATGTGCAACAGAGCAAAAACTGGAGTTGTTTGGAGAGATAGAAGCGTTTCCATGTTTAATTCGATTTCGGAGATGAAAGGAAAAAGGGTTAGATAGAACAACAGCTGCTTCTCATCATGTTTCTATGAAACTGGATGATTTCAGTATCGTTGCCTAAAAAATATGTTCGAAAACTACGATCGCATTTTAGTGCTATTTAAACAACATCCAGACTTTTAAAGGAAACCTTAAGTTGGAAAGAACAGCTGACTAGAAAAATGAGAGAAGGCGCTCATATTCATAATCACCACATCTCCAACGTTCCAAGCTCTCCATGTCACTCATATTGTTCTGCCCATCTCTGCAGCTAAGTTGTACACTATTTTGACTTTTCGAACCAGCTACACAATGTCAGAACATTTTTAGATCTTCTTCTTGCAGTAATGAAAGTGACTTCGGAAAACGAAATGAGCACCACAGTGATGGTGAGACATTTTCAAAATTTGGGCCCAAGTCCAGATCAAACTACGATTTCCCTTTCCGGTGGCACTCCCATTGCACGCAGTTCCACAGGTTTCCTTGCTCCGCGTTTCTCTCGGCTAGTTTTCTATCTACCAGCTCTATCGGCAATCACCCGTCAACGGGACTGATCTGGGGAGCCCACATCGGCATTGAATCCAAATAAGCCGAAGCTGCAGTCGAAATCGCAATTTTATTTTTTTATTTACCGCCTGCCGTGAATATTGTGGTAAGCAGTAAATAAAGGCATTGTGAAATGAACATCTTTTTCAGCTCGATGCAAGGACGATGTTTCACACGCGCTCTACGACAAGACTTTGTGAGAATGAGCGTTTTTAGAAGGGTTCATCCGATACTTGAGTACTTAGGTTCTTATTTGATCACTTTCCCAAAGATGCACGCTCCTGTACCTTTTCCATTCGTTTCCTGCTTTTGAAATCGGCATTAGCGGAGATGGTGGGTTTTCGTATTGGTACCACCTTCAGGATTTGCGTTGCCCTGCTCTCTTCCACATTATAAGTGCCAATGGAGTGGCATTTCTCCTACAATTCCGACAACACAGAGTCATAAGAATTTCGCCAAATTCGTCCTATTTTCCCGTATCAAGTAGGAAACCGCTCGTAGATTTCTAGTAAAGCTGGAAACCAACAAGAATTGTTTTCCAGTTTTACAGTTTCCTTTCCTCCTTTCCATCTTTTTCTTATCCAATCTATTACATACAAATACATATGCACGTGAGAGCCCATGGAGTCCGATAAAGAAAAACACAAACAGATGCAACAACGAAATAACAGGCCGGCAAGTGTAAATGAAAATGAGCGGAAGCTGGAATATAGAGATTTTCGGAACGAAAAAGTGCACCTTTTGGTAAGCCCAAAATGAATATGAGATTTCTGTCTAGCCCATAAAACGCCATTAACAAAAAGAAAGAGCCTTTTACTTCTTATAATCACGGTAAGAATTGTAATATTGTGATTTCGATTGCAATTTTAGCTTAACGGGGTTGAATGCCTGTTTGTGCTCTCCAGGTCATTCCCGTTGACCGGTGATTGCCGATAGCCCTAACATAGGTAAAAGATGGCTAAGAGAAAGGCAAAGCAAAGGGCTGGGTTAGTGAGTAGGGAGCATATGAGACTCTTGAAAGGGTGATAATTAGTTCGAAACCCACTTAAGCTTCCGGAATTCTCTCATTACTCGACATTAGTAAGGTTATATTCACAGCGTTTCTTTTCAAATTACTCGCCTATGCTCAACTGCCTTCAGCGAATAGAAGCACCAGGAGTGGTTCACATGGTAAGTACATCCTCGTTCCACAGTTTTACAAACGGAATGGTTTAGTTTTAATGCGTTATTAAAGTCTTTTTTTCATCTTCGGAGTCATTTAATAAACAGTTCAGCTTACGCATTCTGGAAATCTCTAGAAACTCTCAGAAGACAGTGCTGATCGTCGTTGTTGATCACGATTCTTTGACTGACTCGTTGATCGCTGAGCGTTACTGATCGTTCAGTTGCCAGTTGCTCACAGTTTACACTAACGCACCTCAAATTGTTGACGAATGTATACCTACAGCAGCCATACTTAACAGGACTTTACGTGAATAAAGGCAACTTTTTTCTACTCCTGTAGAACAGTTGATAGTGGTGCCCTGATGATAGATGGCTCGATTCCGCGCCTTTGGCTGACAATGCTCGACCTCACTCTGGGATGATCAACAAATTCCTACACCAGCTGTGAGGACAAAAACACTGATTTCATGCACCATAAAATAGCCTTAAGTCATTGAAAAGACCAAATATGCATTCAATCCTAACATATGTTACCTAATAGGGTCGAATACATAGACCAACCCTAAGAGATTGATCCACGTCGAACGCTTTATTTCACTCGTTTACTGCCTTAAAAGTATAAAGGATAAAGCTGTAGGAGTTGATCAATCCCTGAGGGATGCGCCATGCATTCGACAACATTAAGTATCGTTGGAGGTCGTTGAATGCATATCTGGCCTCAAGAATGACTCGCAGTGGCCTACAGATGTATCGAGCCAGTGGTGCTATCCCCCACGTAAGTCTGGTACCAATTTTCTGACCCAAGAGGGATGAAAGGCTTGGTGGGCCATGGGCGCGAGGGTCGACTCCACGTGTACGTCGCAGTGGCGCCTCCAACCATTACACTACAGGCGCCCTGGTTACTGCCTTAGACTCCTAAATTCCATTATTTTGATTGAATCGGACCACATTCGTATTGAAAAAGTTACGTATCGGCGGGAAGCGTTAGTTTATTTCTTCTACTCTTATTTTTGTTAAGGCTAAAACCGTGCTGACAAGCACAAAGAGTTCCAGTCAAATTCATTGACACTTTGTTACACTAAATCAGAGGATTCACGACTGAAATGTAGGAAGAAAAATATACAAATGCAAAATACATGGTGCACTTCAACCGAAATTGTACATAATTCAGCAACATATGTGAAGAGTTGAACCGACATCGTTTTAATCGTCCTCATGAAGAATCAGCTTAGCGCTACCACATTTCCTACACGGCTGGTATACTTTTGACTGCGTTAAATACATGCTCTTAGTTCCAGTGAAGGGGTAACAATTTTCTGCAGTTCTTTGGCGACTATATTATATTATAGTTATATTTCGCAATATATACCCTGCTGTTAAAAGGTGTAGGCAGTAAATAATAAATTAAAATTGTAATCTTGTGAGATTCCTAGGTCGACTATCTACTAACCTCTACATTGGGTTATAAATATTTCGTTTTCTTTTTGAGCAATCACGTGGTTTCAAATCACCATACGTTTGCTTCCTTGCGAACGAACACACAACACAACGGTAGCTGACATTTCCGCAGTATCGCCTTCTTCAGAGCCTGGAAGGGTACACTGATACGTCATTTGCTTGGTCAAACGTTTCAACAACACAAACAGAAAAATGAAGATCTGAGCAATGACTACACGATCACCGGCTTCTCGTAAAACACAGCATTTTTTACTTGTTTGCCACCTAGGAAGAACAGCCGCTCAGAGTCGCATATAGTTGATAACAGCGCCACCCCACTTCAAAAATCAGTTCTGAGATACGGGGATAGATCACATGTTATCTCAGGGCATGCTTCCCTGCTGTTCATTCTCTGATTCCTGGTATTTCTCTAAAAAAAACTCGAGAAGTTTGCTGGTTGGTGTCTTAGGATCCTGTGCGAGGACAGCAACTTTTATATCAAAATGGTCTCTGCTATGCTTTTGTATCTTATACATCCCTTGTGAAGTACTTTGTCCTGCTTTTGGTTTCCACCTACGTGTTTCTTCATACGAATACGTAAAGGTCTGC